ATGGATGTCACAAATGCCCATCTTGCTAAAGAGATAGCGAAAACGATCCGACCATAGAGCTTTGATGAGAATGTCTGCAATCTGCAGTGTGTATTTTTTGAGGTTCAATTTCTACAAACTCAACTCGTTTACGGACAAAAAAAAAAAAATCCATTTCTACGTGCTTCATACGTTCATGGAAAATTGGATTGTTAGCTACCTCACGAGCTACCTGGTTATCATAATAGAGAGGTGTGGGTCCAGAAGGAGGTACGTCTAGATCGTTGAGGAGGCATCATATCCAAACCTTGAGAAACCGACTCAACAAATTCACAACATTGCCCCGTGGAGGTCTTGTTTCACCTTGCCTTGAAAAACCTTGAGGAATTCTCATATATACTTCCTCATTGAGGTCGCCATGTAGAAATGCACTCTCTCTTTCATTTCATCACTCGATCATTTTATATCTAAATACAATCATAAAAAAAATACATAACTAAGAATCCATCAATTAGGATACAAGTCGTTCAAGCGCTCCAATGCATATGCTTCTCTCTCTACTTTGATTAAAAATCGTCATCAAATCAGCTACATGACGTTGAGTGTCCCTGACTATTCATCTCTCACTGGTCCCGGAAAATTAAACGCAACTCTTACTCTCTACATCTACATTTAGGAATTCTCATGATATAATGTCACACGTATTTCTCCTTTGTGTCTCTCTTGCGTCGCAATACTAATGAACGGCTAACATTGATGTATAATATGTATATCTATATAACGTATATATGTTTTACGTTTGAGACATATAATGCAATCGGAAAGCAAGAATGTTTAACTAAGATTATTACCCATTTACTTTCTCATGTTACCACAAGAACGATCGAGTGGGGGAACGAAAGATATTGCACTACTGTTGTGAACTGATATGACAGTACATGATCTTCAATAACTGTGTTTTACATAATCAGGCAACAACGAAGTTAACATAAAGTGTAGTATTTTTTGAACATTTCGCGAATTTCGTTATTTTAAGTCGTTTTTCTATTTACCTGAAGTAACCACTTACCGCAAGATTTTATTTAAACGTGTATATACTAAGTTGGTATTCTGTGTACAAATAATATAGTTTAATGGTACTTTTATACTAAAGAATAGCAATTGCATTGTTAAACATTTTGGAAAACGGGTAACGTGATGGTTACCTATAACATCCGGTTCAGTTGTATTTTTTTTTTTTTCCTAAAGAGTATGATGTCTTTGTTTTTGGTGATATTTTAAAAATTCAATTAGTTTTTTCTTCTAGAAGTTTATTTTTCAAACTTTATAGAAGTTTCTTTTTCAAACGTTTATATTTATACGCTAACAATAAATCGAAGAAAACAAGTATCTAAATTTGGGGATTATTGACAAGAGTCATACTTATGACATCAATTTGGGTACAAGTATCCTATTTTTATTTTATGCAAAGTATTTTGAGCACGTAATTATAAGCCAAAGGCATCGATCAAATTTATATTTTTTTAATCGACTAAATCTTGATTTTATTTTTAGAATATATTAAGATGGAGATACAAAATGATTAGAAAGAGGAAGAAAAAGGGCCATAAGTATTAAGGGCCAAACTTTTAGGCCCACTTTATCATCAATAAAATAAAAGCACAATATGCTCAGATGCACTACAACTACATAGTGCTCCATCTATCCCGAAATACATTGAACAGTGATTACTGAAGATAATAATCTAATTTAATAAGTATATCAGTCCATTAATTATCTAAACATAACTAGTATATATTAAGTAAAAGAGTCTTTACAAAAAGAAAGATGCCAAAAGTTATATGAACATTTTTATCATTAAATAACAGAACTCTAATGGTACAACATAGAAAAATAATACATAAAAAAAAAAAAAAAAAAAAAAAGTAACCAATAATTTAATTATTTTCAAAAATACAATCATTAGATAACATTATAATAATATATATTATTCAAAATAATATAATTATGATAGGTCATAGTCACCTTATATGTGGGTAACTCATGATGGACCTATGGCCTACGTAACCCATATACATTATACATACAATGTTACCATGCACCCGATGAATAGACAAGACACTCCCAACATTTACGAAAATCACAATCTAGAAATAATTTGGCTATGCATATAGTATAACATGTGAAATTTTATACCAAAAATCATATATAAGAATTTTTATAAAACCATCCAATATTATAACATTTGATTTCGCATGTATTTGACTAAGACGAGGTATTAATGGGATAAAAATATAGTTTGTTGTTCGGCTAGAAAGATGAAAAGGTTCATACAGTTAAAACTCACTATCAATCATTCACATGTTTAGAAGACGTGATTGCATTCTTGTCTATATCATAATAACACTATTAAATTGTTGATTGATAAATAATATATTATTATTTTTAGTAGTAATCAACAATGAAATTAGATACCATCAAAACAAAGTTTTTTTTTGTTTTGTTTTGTAAAACTATGTACAAAAGCAAGTAGGCATATACAACCCTTTTTTTCTTAAGCACGACAAGCCAAAAAAAATGTATTTTGTATACACTCGATTATGATATCATCTCATTTGTTACACATGATAAAACACAACCAATTGTATTATATTGTATTTGGTATACATAATGTATTGGAGTGTGGATGATATGAATAAGACGAAGTGCTACATTTTGTCTTACCCAAAGAAAGTAGGGCAAAGATTTAGATCTAGATCCTTCGTATGTGTAAAAGAAATGTAAATGTCTACCTCACCATCATCATCGAAACAAACACTAAAAAGTCTCTCTGATTTCATTCAATTCGGGTTTGTCTTATATGATAAGAACAATCTAAAAGACTAGTCATTGTCATCTGATAATACTTCACATCGTGCAAGAGGACTTTGTCAAATTTTGAAAAAGATCAAAAAAAAAACCATACAAATCGCATTGATATGAAAACACTTTGAAAAACTATAAATACATATATGCAAGCCATATTGTTAGATAATTACAACTTCAAACTCGATAAGAGGGAAATTGTTCTTATTTATGAAGATATTAGTAGGTGAAGTGACTTCAAGACGTCCCCATTTGTCAATAACAAGTCTCATTAATCCTTTGAATATACCATTTTTCAATTTTTATGTGTCACAATGATGCCCTCTTTCATAAGGTCATCGGGTATAGGATGGAAATTCGCACGTAAGGATCTAGCTGAAGGGTTTGTTCACGTGTGAACACCGCTCCCAGCAAAAGTAAATGTAACGTTGATTGATGCTGGTCACGGATGTTCACAGGCCATCTGATTGGTTTATTTGATTTTTGACCGTTTGGGCATTCCTTTTGACCGTTTAGCATTAATTAAAATAAAATTTATAAATAAATAATTTTTTTAATTAAAACTTCACCTATATATACAAACACATAATACACATCAAATATCTCATAACAAATACCCTCAACGATAACAATATGAATAATTGTTTGGGTGCTATTTCTTCTTCTTCATCCGATGATGATGATTTGATTATGCACACGTTGTCCGTTGCACACGACATTGTGCGTCAGAGAGGTGAAAATTCAAATGTCGAGAAGAAACCTAGAAAAAGTTGATCAACCGTGATCGTATCGCAGCAAACAAACTTTTGGTACGTGATTACTTTACCACTGACAGTTTATACGACCTATCGAAATTTGAAGATCGTTTTCGTATTAGTAGAAATGTATTCGTACGTGTAGCTAGAGATTTGGTGAACAATTATGAGTTTTTTCAATTGAGATGAGATGATAGAGGTAAACGTGGTTTTACTATATTTCAAAAATGCACATCAGCTCTTAGACAATTGGTATACGGCATAGCCGCAGACGCTTCAGATGAATATTTGAAATTGTCTATGAGGACCAATTGAGAATGCACATATCTTTTTTGTGAGTATGTTATAGAGTTTTACAGTGACATATACTTGCGAAATCTGACTAGAAGTGATGTCGAACAGTTGTATGTCGCACATCAGGCTAAACATGGATTTCCAGGAATGTTTAGTAACCTTGATTGTACACATTGAGTGAGGGAAAAATTGTCTCAATGCATGTAAAGGGCAATTCACGCATGGTGATCATGGCATGCCTACTGTTATACTAGAAGCAGTTGTTTCACAAGACTTTGGTTTTAGCATGTATTTTTTCGTATAGCGGGTCAAACATTGACTTGAATCTGTTTGGATCATCTTCGTTATTTAACGATATTTTGCAGGGTAAAGCACCAAATATGTCATATGTTGTAAATACACGTGTATACAACTGTGGATATTACCTTGGTGATGAGATATATCTAGAGTACGCTACACTTGTCAAGTCATACACATATCCGACCGATGAAAAACGAAAATTGTTCAAGTTAGTACATGAATCTGCATGGAAGGTGTGGAGCAGGTATTTGAGGTCTTCAAACAGAAGTGATACATAATCAAACATCCAGCACGAGTATGAGATAAGGCAAAAATTTTGAAGATAATGAAAGCATGTGTTATTTTACATATATGATAATAAAATAATGTGGTAGGTCTATTTATACATATACTTTGAACGATATATTCAATCCACCTGCAGTATTACAAGTCGCCAACTCAGCATACTTTACAAGGCGTTTGGAAATACAAAACAGTGAAATACCTCACAATTTACGTCAAGATTTGACTAAGCACATATGGCAACGACAATTCGAATAGCACAATGACAATGACGACGAGGAGGGTGACGCAGACGATAAGAAAGAGGTCGGCGTTGAGGACAACGACAAGTAGTATTTTTTTATTTCAATGATTTATTAAGATTGAGTGATTGACTTGTGTTAAGGCCCAATTTGATTTTGATTTTAATACGTATCAATCTATACTGTGTTTACGCATAGGACTAGCGGTGTAATATGTAAAATGGCGCAAGAAAAATTCGTTAAATGTTATAAAAAAAAAAAAAAAAAAAAAAAAAAGTAAAAATAAAACGTACAAAATCCGATTCTAATATAAAAAAAAAAACGTACGAGAGTCTGTAAATATATTAAAGGTGAGTGTCACTCTTGGACAGAAATAAGTTCAAACTCGATAAGGGACAAATTGTTATCTTCTTTAACGGAAATATGATTAGGTGAAGTGACTTCAAGATGACCCCATCTGTCCACACTAAGTCTCATGGAGCCTTTGTACATGTCGATTTTTGCATTTTTAAGGCTCACCGTGTTTCCCTCTTTCATCAGATTTACTGAAAAAGTTGGCATATAATAGTACTGTTATATCTTATTTATATATTTAATAACTGTTATAAATTAAAATTGTATATTATCACGTTAAATTTTAAATTATTTAATTAATTAAAAATTCCAATTCATATGCATAGGTTGCTTTTCGTTGTACCCATCCTTCCCCTTAAATGGAAGGACAGGAGTATAAAGATACCTTAATGAAATATGTGGGATAATTTAATTTTTTTTATCACTCGTGGTTTGTTACGAGGGTATTTCCGGAAAAATACATATGAAATTACCACTATAAAGTATAAGGGTGTTTCTTTTTGGGCAAAAATATAAAAAAGCACTTGTACTTTCATCATTTTTGCCACTAAATTCCTGCACCATTATACTATTTGACCAATTAAAAAACAAGTTTTTCCCTTAATATTAGGGAATAAAATATACAAAAAGCACTGCTCTTGACATTTTATTAATTTAGCCACTCAAAAGTCGTTATAATAACTAGAAAGAAATAATTGAGTACGTAATTAGATAATATGGTAAAAGTAGTTTTTTTTATTTTTGTACCTTTTTCAATCAAAATAGTGAAAGTATGTTTTGTTAACTGTATTTTGACCTTTCTCTTTGACTTAATTTGCAGAAAGAAAAGAAAACTTTCGCCGTTAATTCCTAACTTTTTAAAAAGAGTAAATTACAGTCCCTATGGTTTGGGATAATTTGGACGTTAGGTCCCTAATTTATTTTTTTAACTCAAAAGGTCCCTACTATTTGTTTTTGTTACGTGCTTGGCCCCTACTGTTTGTTTTTGTTACACGTTTGGTCTATGTCTTACATAAAAAAAACTATTATTTAAATAGGAAAAAATAGTGAGGTAGGTAAGGTAAGGTGAAGGGGTGGGGTTGGCGGTGTGCTTATTTAAATAAATTAACAAATCAAGGGAAAAATAATCTTAGGTAAAACATGGACCAAACGCGTAACAAAAATAAACAGTAGAGACCTTCTGAGTTAAAAAAATAAGTTAGAGACCAAACGCACAAATTACCCTAAACCATAGGGACCATTCGTGTAATTTACTCTTTTAAAAATTTGTGGGAAGTGCACCATCATTTTCTGGAATACTTTTTAAACACTATTTATAAAGAAAAAAAAATCTTGCGACAATAAAATGAGTCTACACATTCAAATATCGCAACTATTTGGGTAATCAAAATTGGGACAGAAACAGATGTCAATGAGACAAAAAATTTATAAATTTTCATCCCACCCAAAAAGGTAAAAGAATGTGGGATAGGAACTCACTCTTGATCTCTGCATTGTGAAAAAAGACGTGAATGCCCTCCTTTCATCTTTAAAAATAGCCCTAGAAAGCTAGTCCAGTCTAGTCATGTGTACCAAACGCAGCCTCTGGCTGCGTTTGTTACTCAGGAGGAGATTTGACTGGACTGGACAAGCTTTCTCGAGCTATTTTTGAAGATGAAAGGAGGGCATTTACGTCTTTTTCACAATGTAGAGATCGAGAGCGAGTTCCTATTCCACCTTCTACCTTTTTGGATGGGATAAAAATTTATAAATTTTTGTCTCATTGACATCTGTCTCAGTCCCAATCGAGCTATTGTTATCAGTATTTTAACATTTTCGTTTAATAATATGTGAAGAAATGCAAAGATACCATTGTCAAGTAATGTAAAAAACTAAAATTTGATGAAAATAAAAACACACCTTGATCGTTTCTAGCAGTGAAGATGATGATTCCAGATTCATCACCAACCAAGCATTCAGCAAGACGCATGTTGCTTCCTTGATTCCCATTTCGCCCTCGCAACATTATCGCCTTTGAATTCACCACTTTTACAATAAGGTCAAGACCAACAGCTCCAGGACGCAGTTGGTCAATCTTAGTCAAACCTTGCATTACACCCATTTTTCAAGAAAACCTGTAATATAAAAACGGTTTCAATAAGAAAATTAGTAAAATAGACAATCACTTTTCATTCAACACTTCTTTCAAAAAGAAGGGAATAAATAGTCATTTACTAGGGGTGTGTTTCTTCATGAATTCTACAATAACATTCTAACTATATAAGAGAAACTAACATTATACGAATATTGTTGAACCTAGATACAATTTTCTAACTTTTGTTCTTACCCATTGTATTTGTGTCAAAGATTAGTGATCCTCACAATCGATGTACACAAAATGGGTCAAAATTTTGAGATTCTTTTTCTCAATTTGATCAAGTAAAGAAACAACAAAAGAGAAGTCATCACCACTGATTCAAAATCTATGCATGTAAATGTTTGAACTTCTAATGACACGTAATCTCCATTGTTAAAGAATGCAACAACTTTGAATTTTGTTTATTCTACATCGAAACATAACTATGTTTGTATAAATCATATCTTCTATATGATATGAACGCTGATCAAACAAAAAGTAGGTTAAAAACTTAATGTAAGTGTAAGAAACTAAAAACTGAAATTAAAACAAGAAGCAAATCACCTCACACAATTCAGGTTAGACCAAAGAGTTCAAATTTGGAAAAGTTACTCCGTCTGATTTTGCATATAAAAAAAAATAAAAAAAATAAAAACACCAAGGGAACTGCTATTGATCCAAAATCAGTATGCGAGCAAATGCTTGAACATACGAAACCTAATTTCCATTGTAAAACAATGCACCTAGCATCTATGAATTTAGTCGAACATGCAAAATTAGCGTTATGCTCATATAAATCGGATATTCTATGAACGTAAATCAAACAAATAGTAATTTAATAACTAGATTGAAGTTGAAGGGTAAGAAACTGAAAACCAAAATTTGAAAATTCAGAAGATCGTTGAAGCTGAGACCTAGATCGAATTGAATAGACAGATACCGAAGGAGAAAGCAGCGATTGAGTTACCTGACTTGTGTGTGATTATTAACCCTCACAATTACAATCAATGCTATAAGATCGTAATTGCTAAACTAAATTAAAGCTTAGAACTGAATTTGAATTGAACAGACAGATACCGAGAGTGAAGGTAAAGATTGACTAACCTGCCTTTCGATTTGAAGAGTTCCGGAGAAATCGAGGAGAGAATGGAGGATCCGTTCAGCGATTGAAACCGATCTAAACTTAAATGTGCTGGCTAATACTTCACGGAAGGTTGTAGACAGTTGACACCACGAAAGTCCAGGTTTTGTTTGTTTATGCCTAAAAAATTTGCAATTTAAAAATTAAATTAAATTAAAAAAAAAAAACAAAAAACAAAAAACAAAAAACAAAAAATTGCAAAAATGGTCCTATTTGTATTTTTTCTGATGGTTAGTCCAAACATCGATTTTTTTTGGTTTTATGGTCTTTTTGAATTAGTTTTATTGTAGATTTGATCCTTCGGTAAACTGAAATGATTTTAACGCCCTTGAATATTTATTTTCTATTTTTAAATTCCTTTTTTTTTAAGTTTAATAACTATTTATTCATTTTAATATTTAAAAACTATGAGGGCCCACATTCTCTCTCTCTCCCTCTCTCTCTCTCTCTCTCTCTCTCTCTCTCTCTCTCTCTCTCTCTCTCTCCAAACACACATACACTCTCCAGATCTTCCTTTTAACCACCATCATTCATATATCAAAATTTTTGATGTAACATCCCATTTTTACAACCAAAATTTTTCATTTTATTTAAGTAAACCTTCCTAGTTATAAATTTGTTATGGAGATCCTACTAGAGAGCCACATCCAAACAAGGAAAAGGCAAGAAAGCCTAGATCAAGAGTTCTCAAGCTATCCTGCATTACTACATACAGCCGGTAGGGCACCCCACTAGATGATAACCAGGAAAGCACATGTAGATATACAAATCTACAAACTACTACCACATAGCAACATCCTAAATACCAGGATACAAATCTAAGAGATCACTACAACATATCAACATACCAACTACCGGGATACTGATCTAACAGGTCATTATAGCATAGAAACATACTAAATACCAACAATCTTAGAAATGCATAACCATATGTACCCAGATGTGAGATAGACACCCAGACAGATGATCCTACTCTCGAGCCACATCTAAACAAGGAAAATGCAAGAAAGCCTAGATCAAGAGTCCTCAGTCTATCTTACATGACTATATATCGTCCTTATGGCATCCTTCTACTAAAGATAACCATAACTAGTGGATCGACATTGGTGCCTTCGACCTATGCATATAGTGAGGCAAAACTCACCTGAAATGAAGGAACCCGAGAACACTATGATATGCTCCCTGCTAAATTGCTTGCTCCCACGGATCTATTAACATCAGAACCGTATAAAATCTTAATCACCAATCAAAACCCTTAAGTTTGAACTGTGTACTCAACTTATGCCCTGTATATATAGGATGGCTTAGTATGCCCAACATACTCGAGCTAGTTCCATTCTTTCCATTAAGCACTTAATCCCTTAAGGACTTTTCACCCAAACTCGGATCTAGCCTCAAAACATTGTCTTAAGTCATAAAGTTTCCACCTTTATGACTTTCCATGGCTAGGGGATGCCAAAAAGCTAAAATCCTAACTTATTATTCCATTAAGATATTACAACTCTTGCATGGAAGGGATAGAAGAACCAAGATCATATTCTATGGTTCCTAATAGCTCCATAATTGATAAAGTATTAAACTTTATCCATTAGAATAGTCTCAGCAAAAAATCTAGTATTTAAGTCATAAAGGGACCAAAAGTGCATCTTTTTCAACTTAATCCATTAAGTCCAAGTCTTTAACCTTCATATCTGAAAAACTTTATCCATAACAAGGTCACAAACTTTCAATATCTAAACTTTATGCACTTAAAGTCACCAAAAGCTCATAACACCCAAAACTAACTAGATCTAATAATTTCATCATCAAGATTCAAACTTTATACCTCCAGAAGAAAGATCAAGGTGAACAAGGTGAACAAGGTTCTGGATCTATAAGCTCCAATGCAACTAATGTTTCTTTAATGAGTTCCTTCTTCTCCAAGGTGCACCAAGAACACTTACAAACACCTTCTTTTTGCTCACAAGGCTCAAACTAGGGCTAGGGTTTCAAGAGAGGGTGTTGGAGAGGTGGAGGCTGAGAATGGAATGGGTTTAGCGAAGTTAAGGAGCTTAAATAGGGATCAAACCACGAAAATAGGGTTTCAGCATTGATTGTGTATGCCCAACATATTCTTGGTACGCCCAGCGTACTAAGGATGCCCTAGTATGCCCAACATATTCCCCATACGCCAAATATACGCGACTAACCCAAAAATCATCCTAACTTCAAACGGTCGTAACTTCTTCGTTCCAACTTCGTTTTCGACGTTCTTTGTATCCATAGAAAGGTGTCGAAGAGATCTATAATATTATCTAAATATTGGACTAAAATCTTCTCAAACAAAAGTCCATATTTCATGCAAGAACCCGACCTATGACTTTTTCCTTTCTACCCTTCGGCCCTAAACACAATTCAAGGGTTAAATCTTTCAACCATCATTACCTCCTTCCACAAGGTCTAATATTTACCTCCTTAAGGCCTAAAGCTATTACACAATCAACTTCCGGCCCACGATCCTGAAATAATAAATGACGAGAAACAAGATGTTATAGTTGAAACCAAGCTTCCTTCTTCAACCACTGAATATACATCAACAAACACCTTATGTGACCATCTTCACCCCTAGTCTTTGTCTTGCCATCACAGATCCATCAGGCATTATCAACTCCTAAGAGACCTTCATTAGCCACAATTATTGTAACAAGTGGTAGTCATGGGTCAACAAAAGTCAATCAAGTCAATATAAGTCAAGCAAGTCAAATGAAAGTCAAATAGTTAAAACATAAATCAATAAATTATACATTGCTTTTTAGGTTCTCAGTTAAATAGCTAGGACCAAAAACCTTGAAGACCTACGTAGCACAATACTGAAATCACCATGTATAAAAAGGGGTTCTCAAATAAGATGTGATAACCGTCAAAATCTGGTCAAGTCAAAGTCAACAAAAGTCAACAGGTCACATAGATAAACTCATTTAGTGCTTGTATGATAGGGTATATTCTATGTTTTCCTATGTGCAACTTTCTATCATAATACAAAGTATCACTCGGAAGTTTCAAATGTTCATAAATTCTAAACCCTAACCAGGGTGAGTGATGTAATGACTCTATAAAGCACTATTAAGTACCCTTCGGGGGTGTAAAACACTCATAACAAGGCATAATAGGGTTTACGAACTTTGCCTTATAGGGCCAAACACTAATGAAGGCCACCGGAAAAGCCTCTCTCAATCTCTCTCACTCCATCTCTCTCTCTCTCTCTCTCTCTCTCTCTCCCAAATCTGTCTCGACTTTTTCATAAACATACATGCCATCCCGACACTTCAATTAGTTGAAACTCCTTGAAACGGGAAGAAAATACGAAAAACAGCACAATAGGAGCGAGACCCTCTCAAGAAGCAAACCCTCCTGGGCTATTTTGCTTCTGATACCTTCGTGCCTAGCCGAGAAGTTTCGCCCTTAGCCTCGAAACGAAGCCCCTCTCTCTTCGAACACCTTTGCTTGGAAAACCGAGGAGATTCATCCGTGTCGACCAGGTTCGCTTCGGACTCAGGGTGCGAACCTCACTTTCTCTTGGGAGCCAGCCTTCGCGTGAACCTACCTTTTCCTTAGCAGCTCTCACTTCCAACCTTCCCTTCGCGACCAGTCTTCTCACCCTCGCAGGTTCGCTTCTGAAGCCCGGTTTTTGACCACTTTCGCTTCTTAAGCCCGTTTTTGACGTGAGAATTCCACCAAATCCATAATTTTAACATTTTAAACCCTTTAAACTGATATTTTGTCCCCATTTTGAAGGTTTATTTAAATATAAATCATATTTCACTTAGAATCAGGAGTACATAAAGGTACTTTTTGACTTTCACATAAAGTTATGACACCAAGCCATTCCCACATCAACTTTATGTTACTATTCACCCTCTACCTAGTCAAATTAATATCTTTCCTCAAACAATCCATCAGATTCTTTATCCAAATCCATTCAAAATATCCTCATTTCTCACACTCAAAGCCTTATATGTCCTTCCCTAAAACACACACACTTCCCTCTCCTTCTCATTCTCAGTCACGATCTCTTGACAAAAGTATTCAGGAGATTTTCCTCCATTCTTGGTAAGTTATCTCCTTTAACTCCTAAATATCCTACACTTCCTCATTTAAATCATGGATAATTTACACGGATATTGTCACAACTAGCCTTTTTGCTGGGAAATTTTGTAGTCTTGTAAACATCATTTATTATGATACATGTAACTCTAAGTTGATACTATACACTATGGTGATTCAATGACAACAAACCGAATCAATGTTCATTTGTGAAGTTCAAAAGCCTATACAAAACACCTCATATGTTTAACTATGGATTGAAAACCCAGAAATCCCGGTTCAAGTTCACTATTGACTAGGATCCTCTTATTGGGCCTAATGGACCAATAAACCTTCAACTTGACTACTTTGGGCCTAGAAACCCTAATTGGGTTCTAATTAGACCCATATTCATAAAACTTAACATTTTGGTTCATGTGGTCCATAAATGATTCCATTTACCCTAATGGGCCTTAACCCTTTTAAAGTGGACTTCGTTGGGCCGTGAACCCTCCTAAGGGCCCAATGGGCCGAAAATTTATTTTAGGCTTCACAAAAGTCGAACAAAGCCAAGATTGGGCCTAAATCATTTCATTCTCATTTCTCTAGCCCAAATCTCGGCCCAACCCACATTATGCATATAAACAAAAAAATGAGGAATTTTGTGAATTTGACACCTCATGTTTGCATGGTGGGTATCCATGACAACATCAATTCAAATCTCCTCTTCCCCCTCTTCTTATTACGTCGGCCACCCCCCCCACCCCCATACCACCTCAATTTCTTCCAAACACTCTCAAAAACTCTCAAGAAATACTCTTCCTTCCTCCCAAATATTTTCGAGATATGTGTGTATTCCAAGAAGGTTTTTCACCAAAATCATCATCTTTGGTAAGTTATCACTTGGATTTATGGTTTAGCTTCTTGATTTCTTCAAAAATCTCTCTTTAAACCATAACATTTCATGATTTATTCGTCTATGCTTTTTAAATACCAAAAACCAGCTCAACGAGTTTGCTAGGGCAGAAATCCTCTCACTTCTCCATCAA